CTTTTGGCTAATAACGTGCAACAAACGACAACGGCGAACAACCAGCTGCCGTCGGAAGTAGATTGTGAGCCGGACGTCCTGGAGGTCAAGAGCGTGATTCAGTCGGAAGAAATTGAGAAGACTGCAGTTCAAAGCACGGCTACAGACGTAGCAAAAAGTGACGGCGACGAGCTCGAACCGTCGGTGACCACGGCCACGGTGAAGTCAGCAGCAGCAGCAGCAGCAGAAGAACAACCGCTGCAAGATCGTCGCAGGCCGTCCATCATGTCAGCACTGGGGAACCGACTCCTCAAGGTCAGCAGATTGTTCTGCTGTTGTTGTCGTCCGAATAATATTGATTAGAGTGGTACTCTCAACTCTGGTACCGCGATATGGCTAGACGCTGTTAAACGATTGAGAGATGCATTGATCCAGGATGTTTTTTGGACACCGTCTTGCCGCCATTCGCTCACGTCGCTGCGGGCATCGAACAGTCGAGAAGTTCGACCCAGTCCACTCCAGCCCTCTACAATCCCGTGTGACCCTCGATAGCCGGCTTAAGTCACATCCGGTCATCCGGTTTTCCGAGGGCGAAGCACGTTTGGGTACATTACATTATTTTTACCTGTAAATGTAGAACACGTTTGGGTACACAAATACGGCTGCAATACGATTGCGCGCGGTCCTTATCAGCGGTACCTTTTTAGGCGTACGATTGCGCGTGCTAAATTATTTTTATTTCTAAGCTCTAAATAGAGCCAACCTCCTCGTGGTGTCTCCTGGATAACGCTAATAGACTCTAAAAATTTAAAATTAATGATTAATAATTAAAGTGTTATTTTTCTAGGTGTTTCTAAATGTTATATTAATACCTATTTCCTATGTACCCAAACGTGTTATATTTCTAGAGATATGGTGTACCCAAACGGTGTATTCATTTGTGCCCAAACGTGTTGCGTTTAGGGTCTACTGTACCCAAACGTGTTACGGCCTTTTTCGAGCACCCTTGTGCCTCGTCGCATTTTTTTTTTACATTTTTCTTTTAAATTTGTACCGACGTCTGTCGTTTTTCACCGGCAACCTTTTAGTTGGCCCTCGCGTTTTTTGTTTTTTTTGTTTTCCCGCTAACCACTCCTGCGGGTATCTATATACATTAAAAATTAAGATGTATTCAATATATATATTGTATTATTGTATTAATATTTTTTTAAAATATTTTTTTGTATATTATATACATTTATTACCACGTATTCGGTTTCTCTTTGTGTAAAAATATGTTTCATACAGTTAATTTGAAAATTAAAAATGTAGATGTATTCAATATATATATTATATTATTGTATTATTGTTTTTTTTAAAATATTTTTTTGTATATTATGTCATACATTTATTACCATGTATTCAGTTTTTCTTTGTGTAAAAATATGTTTCATACTCTTAATTTGAAAAATAAAAATGTGTTATTTACAGAATACTTGTTTATTCAATTGACTCGTGTATGTATTAAATAAAAAAATAAAAATACGAAGATTCTAATAATCTATTATATAATACCTAAAATAACTTAAAAAATTTAATAAAAAATTTAGAATGAAAACATAATTTAATGTGCTCATATTTTGTTGATATTTTTGACATGAACCATTATAGTTAGTTTTGATAAGAGTGTTAATTTATAAGCGTTATATATTGTAGTCATAACCACGGTCTTAGACCGTGGTCATAACTATAGGCATATATCAGGGATGGCAAATCCACGGAACGTGTGATCGAGGGGGCACGCGAAAATGTTTATATATTATATAATATATAATATTATAGGACCTTTTTTTTTTTTAAGTTTGAACCGACGACGCCGCGGGGACTGCTTCCGCGTTATTTCCGCGGCGCAAATATTATAGGACTTATAATAATCTAAACTAACCTTTTTATACCTTTTTATAACAAAATATATTATTTTTAATATTTTTTTCATGGCACGCAGTGTTCAAAAGGTTTGCCATCCCTGTCCTAGACCGTCAAATAAATCGTAATACTCATCTAAAATATTAGTATCTTTATCATTGTTCATAACATTAATTCTAGAAATTAAATTAAGATTATTGCAAGTTGACAAACCTATAATATGGAATAGCGCATTAGCGCATTGCACGGAAAATCAACTTTGAAAAATTCTATAGAATAACATCTTTGTTTATAAAAAACATTTAATGTGACTATATAGTATTAACTATAATATTATGGTATTATGTCGTAAGTGTATTATAGGTAAAACGTTTTATATTATTATAAATTCGACGACTGTGACATGTACGGAATGTGCGGCTGCGGTGACGTCGTCGTTGTCGAAAGGTGGAACAGATGCGAACGCTCAGCGCCCATATCGTCGTATGGGGTTGTTGCTGTAGTGCTGTACATCAAGCACTATAGCACACGTACTATACTACTATTATAATATACCAACGGACGACGTGTTATAAAAATAATAATAAATCACATTACACAATATGTGCGGTGATATAAATATATGTATATAGAAAGTACGCATACACGTGGTCGTTCTGCAGTAAAGTTGTGCACGTGCGGTAATATTAATAGGGCGTGCGTATGAAGGTACCAACAACCTAATCGTAAAAGTGTATTATGTTATATTATGTTAAATGTGCAATGGAAAGTATAATCTAATAGATATTATGATAGTATTACTGTCATAATTATTTTACGATTGCAATGCACCCGGTTCGAGTGCCGTGGTGGACGGCGGTGGCCGTCGTATATTTTGTGGTTGGACAGAGGGAGCTGGATTCTGGCGGAGCTCTAAATGCGACTATACCGATAGTTGGGTACCCAGTGGTTACTCCTGGGATTTGAGGGACATATTGGTATGGTCGAATGGTATGCTGCAGGTTACATTTCGTTCATTCGGTCAAGACTCGACAAGCAATGCTGTAGTTGTAATGTTTTAATAATAATATTATCTTTAAAATTAATGGCGGACGCGTGCGAGTTTTACAGAGATACAATATACTTGTATGTATTGTATACACACATATTATGTATTATAATATATAAAATTTGTTATTTATACCAAACACAGCCGGCCGACGTTTTCTATTTTTAGCGAATGTTTAACGCCGGACGGACACGCATCCACGTATATATTTCAATGTTATAATAACTGTACGCAATGCCCGTCGTATACGTAATACAAAATGGGTACTGCTAGAAGTAAACTCCCACTATATTATCCTACATAATGAGAATGTCGTGTGCTCGACAAATTTAATGATTTTACAGCAGCCGTGACTACATACATATTAACGCTTATTATATCGGCTCGCCTCGAAAAACTATGGCAAAAAAAATGTTATTTTGAAATGCCTAGTAAATAATATAATGACGATATAGAGTCGTGAAAATATACAGTGGGTTGGAGACCCAGAAATGTAATTTGAAAAATTATAAATGTCGCTCCGTCCTCCCTGAAGTTCATACCTACCTATTAAGTTATAAATTATTATTTTTTGGTATATTAGCACCTACGACCGAAATCAACGTGTTAATTTTATAAAATATTCAAAATATTCAAAAAATGCAATCCAAACAAAATGTTACAATAATAAACGACAGTCTTTGAGCAGACAGCTTAGAGCCTTTGCCCAAAATTTCAGCGATATAATTCCATAGTAAATGCTTATAGTGCTTATATATATATAAATATATGTATAATGTATACTTTGGCATTTAAGTTAGCTCGGACGTGACTTATCGTTAAAAATGTTATGATATCATTATTATTATTATTAGGGCTCCGACTTTGTTGTATTTGTTTGTTATTTTTTTACCAATTAGATTTATTGCTAGGGCCTAGGAAGCTATAAATTCAGTACACATGACTAACCTTAACGGTCTTAAAGAAAAATATATCAACACAATATTTTAGAGCACTTATATATTTGTTTACATATTAAGTATAGCCATTTTTCTGATCTTCCGGTTCTTAAGGTTTTTTTTGATAAATTTTGGGTATTCGGGTTAAGACGATACTTTACAACACAATTCTATGACTTGGTAAATTAAGATATTGATTTTATACTGTCGAAGTGACCAAGGTCCGTCAAACAATATAATAAATAATAATACAATTATTATTTTTACTTCCCGTTGGTTTTGTTGTATGCTAAGGACCAAACGAGACCGAAAAGATGAACAGCAGGTGATCTAAGGTAGGCACAAGCCTAAACGTAGAGAAGAAAATGATAAATTCAAATCTTATAGTTTAAAAATTAGGTAACTAAATAAAAAATAGCATTATTAATAACAAGTAAAGGTGATTTCAGTTGATCCGCATTAAACTATTTAAGGGTCTAACACTCATTATGTCAAAAAGTTTTTACTTTTTTGAAAACATTTTTTCACACAATTTGATGCGATTTCTAAATATAAACTTTAGTTTTTTCGTTATCATTTTTTAGGTACTCTATTTCGATGAATGATACTGTACATTTTTAATTTCGAAGCAGAATACACAAATTGGTGAGAAAAACATTTTGAAATAATTATTGGTGTTTACCCAGGTGATCAGCCACCCTGTACACAATGGGGTATAAACGTATATGTATGACTGCGTGTACATTTCAAACATATTTTATAATATCAATATTTATATCAACGTTGGGCCCTAAACGGGTGGTGCCCGTGGTGGTCGTCATAAATTACTACACGCCGCCGGGAGCCACAGAAGACGCGTCGCATCAAACTATTTCACTAGTACAATATTATTATTATTATTAATTATTATTACTATAATCGTTAACCGCAGTCGAGTCCCGACGACCACTTGCCGGGATCGTCGCGCCGCACGTGTTGCCGAGTAGCTGGCACGCGTCGCCGTCGGTGGTGCAGCAGTCTCGAGTCCACAAGTCGCCGGGGTTTTTATTTTTAAACACTGACCACCGGCCCCCGCCCCGCCGACCGCCGCACGTATAAATACTGAAAAGACTGTGACGACGACGACGACGTCGCTGCCGCCGCCGATGACGGTGCGTACGCGGTACCCCGCGGGTGTTTACGGCGCGCGTGTTCGCGCACCGCAGTAGTTGTACAACACAACACGGTGTCGTCTGTGGTCGACGGGCCCACTGCGAAACGCGCCCCGCACGCGACTACCAAAACGCGACGCACCGGACCGCGGCACCACCGCTGTCGCCGCCGATACCAAGAAAATATCAATTTAATATCGTAATAATATTTCGTCGGTGCCGCGTGACGAAGATGCGGTCCCGCTCAGCAGGGCTGTAGCAGCAGTGAGCTATTCCAGCGGTCTGCGAACTATACCCGAAGTCAACGAGCCATCGACCGACACTTCGCCTACACGAATCACGGTAAGACGACGACAGTTTTTATAATATTGTTAATATTATTGTAAATTCACGACGTCGCATAACACGGTCGCTTAAAATAAGAACGTGATGGTATTTATGAAATATTTTGGTCTGCCCGAACTCGTTTCTATCCAATATCCGACCCACATGGTACAGAGTGATCCTTAAATCTTAATTCTTAATTCTCAAATCACGACATCTTATTAGCAATTATTAACAATTACAAGCAATCTTGTTTTATTATTTGTCTTCGCAATTCCTACGATGCTTCCTGGCTTACGGTAAAAGAATCACGCCGTACCTATTTACAATCGGGAAATACTCCATCTGAAGTTGTTGACTCGCTTCGGTGGTTTTCCGCTTTCGCGAAAGCCGCAACACATATACGAATAAGTAACATTATTGTAACAAAGTAGTAACTGAAAAAAAATTTCGAGGCGGTCCAACATATATAATAATATATCAACATTGATACCTACTTCACACGTTCAGGTGTAAAAGCTCTTGTTCTACCTTTGAAAATATCGGAGGTGACACAGACCCCCGGGGTCCTCTTCAGTTACGGTCTTGATAAGTAATAAACATAGTTGAATGGTTGTGTGTGATGGTGGAAAAAATGGGAACTGTCGGAAAAATGGTGAAGAAGGGTCATTATACTCGTCTCCGCATGGGCTTCGAATAAACTCGAGTTTAGTATAACACATAATAATAATAGCGAATAGTATGGTTACGGTATGTTGTGTAACTCGGGTTCCGATGAGAGGAGTCTGTGCGAATTTTCCGGCAAGATATGCGTACCTATTACCTAATATTAATTGTGGACAATTTTCTTTCGTCAAAGTGTCAAACACTCCATCGCATGACATTTATTTTTTCGAATTGGTCTTAAGAAGTTGAATACATACATAGTATTATTATGCTAACTATTTAATATGCTGTACTAATAAATTTTAAGTCACGAGTATTACTACCATAACTACACACTGTACATTATTATATAATTTCAATATTGTAAACACAGGCTAATGACCACGAAGTTGAAGCCTCTATGCACCGCGTTATGACTTAATTAAAAAAAAATATATATATTAATAGATATCCATAATCGCGTATTTATAAAAAATAGTATAATACATATACTAAGTACAGTAGGTATAATAGTATTCGTGTGTCCCCTCGAAGATTGTGCTGCTTCGGCGTAAACATTTTCAAAATTCGTCTTCCCGTCTCTCCAATATCATGGTTAACAACACACGTGCCAAAACGTTTGCGTCTGATTTATAAGGGCACATAAGCGGTCGATCAGCGATTCCGAGCGATTTACTATGATATCCACTCGCAGATATTGGTGGTCGTGGTCGACGAGTGTCGCGATGATTTCGGTGGAGCCTGCTTTTCAAATGAACGGTCGACGACCATTCCTTGACTTTCGCTCTCTCTGAATTTCCACACTGACCCCATAGTAGAACAGACGCAGTCTCTAGGACACGAAAATGGGGGTTTATATACATACGTGATAAATCGGATGCGGGTACTATGGTTCCACTACAACAATTGTCTCGTCCAAGGTTGTCGCCACGGCGCGGCGTCGCGTTTATCGGTTACTAGTTTTACGTTACGATGAATTATAAATACGTACCTGCCCATGCGGCAATTGCCGTATAGGCCGGTTCATAGTGGGGCACAAACCCCATCTTTTGGCCCGATAATTTTTCATAATTTGAGCAACAAGTTGCCACTCTATAGAATTCAAACCCTGACCACCTTCAATGGAATCTGCTAAACATGCATGGCATGTAAATATACTTAGACATATTTTGTTGCAAGACGTCACCGCCTCACCAGTAATCACAAATCATACGATAAATCGTAGTTAGAAAAAAAATATAGCGCGTGCCACGACTTGCGAGTGATAAATCGAAAACGCTTATCCCGTAGCAAAGGTTGGGGTTTAATTATTCAATATTATTGTGTGTGTTTATACGTTTAGTGGAAATAATTCGGGAAACCGATTTTAATTTTATAATAACTCATTCAATTCGGTATCGGTATTCATAATTGTACTGCTGCAGCACAGGCCTTCCGACGATTCGACGTGTGTCGTATCCAGATGGACAAACGAAAGTCATCCGATCGGATTATTATAAATCGTGTTGGGAAAATGTTTACGCTTGATTGACATACGCATCGTCGGTAGTTGAATATTTTTAATCGCTTAGTTATTTAGCTTGGTCTAATTTTTTTGCTTCCCATTTAAAATTCAACCAAAAGTGTATATACGCAGACCACTAGCCGATCAATATTATTGACGTTTATTTTGTCAACAATAATAAATGTGTACACAGTCCGCCGCCGCCCGTAGGTATTTGCGTAGATATATATTGCCTATAGTAATTCAGTGATTAGTCACGGGGACGATGTAAAAAGCGAATAATTGAAAGTCATTAACACGAAAGTATCTCGAATCTCGGATTAACTACTATCCGAGCTGCTATTCGTAACTTTATGCACGCACTAATCGATTTCTTCTTCTTCTTTTTAAACATTTTGTTCGTCATTAAAAGTTTAAGTTTGTTTCGTAATCACGAAATAACTGTAATAGCAATTTTCCAACCAAGGGAAAAACAACGAACGTTCGATCACGCGAAAATAGTTCATTTATCATTTCTTGTCCGACTGAAATAATACTGAATAATAAGTACAAATATATATATTTTGTCATATTTGCAAAAAAAAAAAAAATGCTGATTGATGTTCTTTTGAGAGATATTTAGGTACAATATAAATAATACTATATACATATTATACCTATGTAGTTCACTGGTAGTTGGATAGTACAATCTCAATCTTTGCTAGTCTACTATTATAGAAGACACCAATAGCCAATAGGTAATAGGTAATAAATCCTCAACATTTATCAAGTATATAATATTTACATTTTAATATTATGAAAATATTTTATAACTTCGTAATATACACAATATATTTTTGTTATGTCTATGCTCGACGAGTACTTTGACCTTATACATAATAATTTTGTAACATAGTATTGTAATTTTAAATAATACCCATTTTAATTAAGGAACGAACGCATCAACTAAAACGAAAAATATGGTGATAATAACGATGACAATAATATACTTAACTCGGCTTGATTATACCTACCATAGTACCACGTACCTATAGTCTATACTATCATATGCAGCAGCAGTATTAAAATCAAAATGTTTTAATGTTTGTTATTATTTTAATATTATTGTTGTTTTTTAATTTATTTTTTAAGCAACTTGACAATATAGTGGCTACATTGCACATTTCATTAATTTCGTTTGCATTATTTTATAAGTTTTGACTTTTTAAGCATATTATCTTTTATTAAAATAATAATATAGTATAAATAATAATATTATAATATACCTAATATAATGTCTATTAATTTCGAATTTTTTTCAAAAGATAAAATAATTTTAGATTATTGCTGTCAAATTATAGCAGTGCTGTTGATGAATAATTTATAAAAATATATATCGTACCTATACAGTTACTGATTTTGGTTGCAATCTTCAAAAACTGAAGACGGGACAATGCTTTTTTATAATAACTAATAATAGTAACCCGATTATGTAATAACAACGAACGTAATCCGAACAAAGGTTTATTGAAATATTTTTGAATTTTAATTTTTAAAAATGAGGGAAAGTAGGTAATCGTTCCTCAGTACAGTAGGTGTCGAGTAATACCTCGTCATTTTATAAACCACTGCAGTAATGGATGTGTTAAATTTGAATTCAATGATAAATCATCGCACAAGTAAAAAGATTCTGAACGAAGATCAAGTCTGGCAGCCTATAATGTTAAGTATATTTTTTGATGTATTTGCATTGCTGTATAATAGCACCCAATTTATTATACTATAGAATTGATTTTTGCAAAAATATTACATTTATAATTTACTATATATTATTTTTGTTTAAGTATTACCTAATTATAAAATAAACAAAATTGATCCATTTTTATGATGAACATTGCATTAAATTGTCTACCTTTTTTACTCAAAATTTTTTCTATAGATATAAATTGAAATAAACCGCAAAAAATTAAATATTTAAAATACCTATAATAAAAAGCATAAAAATAGCCAAAGTATTTTAAAAATTGTTTCATATCAATTTTTTTTTTAATGAGTACCTATAAAATTCTTATTTTTAACTTCTTAAATATACCCAGTTAAAGACTATATTTTCTAATATATGGAATTTTAATACCAATTTGTCTAGTAGGCTGTAGCTATACAAACTGATTTTTCTCAAATAAGGATGTCTATACACAATTGTTTTCTATAAATTGGTAGGCGATATTATTAGTTTTCGAAAACGTTGGTCGTCGATAGATATAAACCGAAATTCAAACGAATAGTTCCTAAGTTATAATACATTGTGTAAGTACCAAGGATACTGTGAAAAAATATGGTTTTTATAGGTGTAGGTATTTAAAAATTCCAAAATTGAGAATTTGAATAAATGTATTATTTGTTTAAAGGAAGAAACGTTGGTGAGCACTGAGCGGTGGATACGTTTGCAAGTGAATCACCCTGTTTATATACCTGCAATAATATCTTTTTCAATTAAATATCTTGTATTTGTGTCTTTTTTAATATAACATAAAACTAAATGTATATACGAATATACGTCATATTATTATGTATTCCCTCGCTGGAGGTGTGTTGCTGGATAACCACCGGTTGGCAGGGGAGCTAAGTAAAAAGTCCACGCGGTCGTTTTATGTATATATAAGTATTATTATTGTTAACGGATGCGCGTGCGCGTTTCTCTCTAAAAATAATCTGCACGCAACCGTGTTCGTCGTATGTAGTGTGTGCGTTCGGAGTCTGCACGGCAACGCGTGTACATTATTATGTAATAATATATTATCATTCATACTTGTTGAGTATTCAAATACTATTTTTGTTATCCGATTACCATCGAAATGAAAATAACACT